TTTAATCAATGAATACCGTGCCTCCCAAGGTAGAGACCTGAAAGAAGGGGAAAATGAGAATTTTTCTGTTCTCTTTTTTCTTTTCTCTTTTTCTCTTTAGTGGTACTGATTTTGCATCTTGCTGGCCTAGCAATTGAAAGCAGGGAGGTGGCCCAGTCGCTGTTTGCTTGCCACAGCTGAACTTGAAGTTATGCAGTCTGGTGTTACCAAACAATTTGATGTTACTAAATATAACCTCTAAATGGAGGAGGTCACTACTTACGGGTCTGTATTCCTGGTGCTTTAGTTGAGGAAGAACTTCAGCCTCCATTTCTTATTTCTGTGCTGGACCCAAGGTGCAACTCATAATCCCAGTGTGATGCTGTAGCTTCTTTTTGTGCCCAGAATCCTGTAGAGGAGGGTTTTTATTTTTTAAATAGCTTTGTGTGCCTCTTTTGACTCTGTGGAGCAGAGGGAGAGTTGTATCAGCCCAGCACACTCAGCTCTGAGTACTGAGAATGGAGTCTGGAAGGCTGTTGGCTTTGCTTCTGTAGCCGTCTGAGACAGTTTGACATCCCTCCCTGGCATCCTCACTGCAAACTGTGTCTTATTGGACCTTGGTGGGTCCCTGGGAGCTGTTATAAAGCAATTGAACTTAGGCTGTGCTATGCTCGAGGCTTCTGCTGTGTCTGTCAGCAGAGCCACCCAGAGTAAATGACAGCAGATGCACCACTCGTCCTTACTGTTTCTTTTGCTTAGAGCTGAGTTAGCTCTGTTTCTGCTTCCTTTGGCAAGACTGTAGATGAAAGCATTATTCTGACTGTTTGTGATTCCATCAGCTCGCACTAGTGTTCTGGCAGAAAAACCTGATTTTTCTTTAATTTGCTACAGAGGAACACCAGACTTGCACAGTTCAAACAGGTGATGTTAATTGACCTGTGTTTGTTTTTACCAGAAGTAATCTAGGGTGTGTTTGCTGAAAATGTTGTAGCTGTAGGTTGGTGATAAGCCCAGGAAAAAAGGGTGAGAAGAGTAGTTGGGGATGATATCTGTTCAGTGACGCAGCTAATCACCTGCTTTTGGCTTAGATGAGCCTCTAAGTCACACACATAATGAAATCCAATAGCTGCGTAATTGGCTTCCTGTGAATGCTTACTGCACTATCCTTTGATAAATTGCTAAAAGCTTGTTGGAAATCTTTTCAGCTTTTTAATAATTATAGCCTTCCAAAATCTTATAACTTTATTATAACTCTTTTTTCCTACTTGTACAATTGGTGAGGTCTGCTGAAGTGTGGCAAGTGTCAAAGCTCAGCCTCTCTTTTTAAGAAGGGCAATTCAAGTGTGGAAAGAAACTTTACTCTTGTGGAGTGCTCTGAGATGAACTGAAGTCAAGTTCACTGAAGACAGCCTAGATGCACCTGGTCATGATGAATAAGATGGTCACCACTTTCATGAGCATAAGCTAGAACATTAGTATAATGAAATATGCTGTTTTATGTTACTCGTGCAGACAACATAATAGAGTTTTCTAAGGCAAAACTGTGGCTTGTGCAAGGTACTCTTCATCTTGAGATACAAATGTGTTAATGCAGTGTCACAATTCTGACAGTTTGTCCACAGCTGTTATCTGAGGTGGAAAACAGCAAGTGTCTTATGTTCATTTTTCATTAAATTCAGCTGCTTGATGTATTTCTTAAGATATCTTGCTTTTAATACATGTAACCAAATTATTTGTGCTTGCTTTTAAGGCCCCTGGAGGAATTGCAACACCCCTTGTTTATGGCCAACTTCTAGCTTTATACTTGTTACATAATGACATGTAAGTGGCTCTTATGAATATTTAGCTTTGTATACTGAACAATTTGTCCCTTTTAAGCTGATTGCTAGAATTCTGGCAATGCTAGGTCAATCTGTGTGACTAACAAAATGCATGTAGGCAGTGTTGTGTAAAAAATGAGCTTAGGTAGGAATCAACTGTAAGTCTTTCTCTTCCCTTCCTATGTCAGGAAAAATAGCCTCCTTTATTTGCTCTTGCGTACTTTTTCCGAAGCCTAGGGAAACAGACTTCAGGAAGAAAGTTATTTAAGTAGTGAAATTGGCTTTTGTGGGAAGCATTGAATGCTTCTATGGTTTGCTTTGTAGCTTCTTAAGACAGTATTTGTTTTGACTACGACTGCATGCTGCTGTTTCGTATTTAAAGGTATTGCAGGGTAACTTTAAACTTCCTGTGTTAAACATGAGGGGCACTGGTTGTTGAAATGATCTAAATTAGCATCTTTATTTGACTGATGTAATCCTTTAAATTCATTCTGGTGGATTATTAACATGTCCCTGTGTGAACTTGATTCTTTCCTTTTAAAACTCTATTGAAAATGTTTTATTGATGCAGGGTAAATAATGCTTGCCTTGTAGGCGTATAGTGCATGCCCAACTCCACTGAGCACTAATGCTGAGTGTTAGGTTTCCTACAGATAATCTTGGTTGAAATGGAGCTTGGTGTAGAGTTTTATATTTGTGCTTTAATTCAAAGCAGTGAGTCTTATTCTTTATTTTGCTTTTTAAATTTCACTGGGAATTTCTAACGGTTTCCGTTTTAGTTTTCTGTAACTGTGCTATAGAGTGACTAAATCATGTCAATGCATGTCTGAAAAATCTATAAGGCATGGGAGGGAGCTTGGCTTGGAAGAATATGCACAAAGTAGTCTAAATGACTACTGACAGCAGGAAATGCCACTATTTCATTACATATATTCATTAAATATGCAGCTGCCCTGAGAATAAAACTGCAAAATTCACGTTTCTACTGTTACAGTCCTCAACAACATTCCACAAAAGTTAAAAACATTTACTACACTAGTGTTGCTTGAGGCAGTTAAAGATCTGTTTGTTTGTTTGTTATGGCAGCTATGTCTTCTTGAAACAACTTATTTTTGTATTTCATTAGACATAGAAGGAAGAGTTTTGAAGCCTTGTGACTGCATAGCTCCAAATTTGTTATGAATTATAGCATCTGAACAAACCATGTGAAGTCTCCTTGCAGCAAACACTTGGTTACTGAGAAATATTTTTGACTTTATTTTTTTAGGAATAATGCACGATATCTTTGGAAAAGAATCCCTCCAGCTATTAAATCTGTGAGTACTTTGATTTTTATAGCATTCAAATGGCCTTTTGCAATGTCATGTAAGCTTGCAAATGACTCCCCTCCCCCTCGAAGATTCAGTACAGTCAGTAGCTTTGAGCTCAGTTCTGTGCTGTAAACACTTGCCCAGCAGATGGCACGCTAGTCTTTCTGACTAAGATCTGTTTGCAGTAGGTGTTATCTTTTTCTTCCCAAATAATCTGGTGAAATGGAATTCAGTAAATCAGTGAAGCTCTTACTGGAAAACCTCGTGATAAAGTGTAGCCAGCTGAAGGGGGGAGATGGCTCTATATTAAATTTCTGTCCATGAGACAGGGCCACATTCCAAGCTAATACCAAGTGAAGGTACAGAATAGCCAGTACAGTGAAAAGCAACTTCAGATAAGTTGCAACTTGAAATCAAATGACTTTTAAAAGGCACTTTGTTATGCGTTGCTGTGTCCGTGGTATGATTTTGAGTTACTTATTTAGATCAAAGAAGCATTTTGAGGATTTAGATAGTTATGCCAGAAATGCTTCCAGACTGAACTGTTTTTAAGGTTTTTTGGTTTGAGATTCTTTCTGAAGAGACAGCTGTGGGGGGGCCAAATGTTCTCTGTGAAACAATATTCTGTAGTAAGTCTCGGGGCTGAGGTGGGACCTGTCAGATGGTTTTGGGTGAGTTTCCTTTCAAGGAAAAGGAAAAATGGGTCAGTGGAGTCAATAGTCAGCTGGACCAAATTTAATTGGACTGCATCTGAAACTTGTTACAGCTGTTGCATGGCAGTATTTTTTGACCAACCAACCTAGTTTCCTAGGTGTAGCTTGCATTCCTCATTCTTGGCGGGGGGAATATGTACAATGATATTCCGTGGGTGATTTGGGAAGGAGTGGTATAGCACAGTATTTCATGTGTATGCAGCTTGATGAATCTTCTGCTAATTGAGTCAGTGACTAGGATAAGCCTTAACTTCTTGGGCCTGAAACAGAATTGGCTGCCCTTACAATTGAAAGCATTACTTTATTAAGCCTGGTGTTTGGTCACTATTCTGATACTGCCATTTGGTCGGCTGGTCTCTAGAACAACGTGCAGCAAAGCAGAAGGAGCTCTTAAACTAGCAGTGGAAAGAGTTCTAGTGCGAGTATGGCACCTTACTAAATGAAACATTGTCAAGTGTTCTGGTGTTTCAAGCTGAAAATTCTCTTCATTGTGCAAGTGGCCACTGTACTATAATGTATAAAGCGTCTGCTTCGAGAGGTGCTTGCCCATCAGAACATGTGTCTGCCTGTCTTTTTTGCAACTTCAGCACACAGTCTGAATGCAAATTGTCTTCTGTGACTGTTTTAGCTCGTGTGCTAGCCTGAATTGGTACAACTGCCACGTGAGCAGGCTTCCCTTAAACTCTGCTTAAGTGGATGATAAGTTCTGGCAGAAGGATGGAACAGGGAGCTTACAGCACTGGTAGCTGCTAGAGCAAGATTTCCCAGAGCTTGTCTGTTCATCTTTACAGGTACTGTGATACCTGCTTGCAGTGGGAGAGAGAAGGGAAGCAGAAGTGGGTTTCTACAGAATGGTCACTGAAAAGAATACACAGTGCTGCATTAACTGGTGTTTTTTCTCTATAGGCAAATGCTGAGCTTGGTGCAGTTTGGTCAGTAGGACAAAGAATCTGGCAGAGGGACTTCCCTGGAATCTATACAACAATCGGTGCGCATCAGTGGTCTGAGACTATTCAACCAATCATGGAAGCACTTAGAGGTACAAATTGAAATGTGAATGCCAAAACTGGCTGCTGCTATCCAATTTTTAAACAGGAGTCTAGGGAACTTGGCTTGGTATTGCCAAAATTGGAAAAGACTTTTGAAAAGTCTAATTCTTTCAGTTTGACTTCAGACCGGTTTTTGGTAGTTACTGTCTGTAACAGTAACATGCAAATAAATCCTCTCACTACTAGAGGGCGCTGGAGACTGCTGGGAAAACCCTTCTAGCCTATTTTGCAATAACAATTTCTGTATAACTTTAAGAGCAAAACCGATTTGCGGATAGGCTGGTGTCAAAGCAGCCATGCTGGAAAAAGGCATGAATAGCTGCTGTGAACTATAATTGCTTTTTTCATTAATTCTTGTAGTTCTGAACTTTTGCAGAAGTATGAAAATTTTCCAAGATCTTACTCAAGTGGAGAGCACTGTCAAAAGCATTTTCCCAAATTGTGGCTTACATGTTGGCAATAGTACCGAAGCTGCTGCAAATTGCAATTGGAGGTCAAACACCCACTTTGGAGTGGGGGGTTTGTCCTGGCTTAGAGCAAGCTGTTGTCTCTGGCTGCCATCTGTGGTACTTGACCAAGAGTCCCCTCTTTCCTTCCCACAGTTTGTTCTAAAGTGTTAGCTTTAAGGACGGTAGTGGCTTTCCAAACTGTTTTTTGTGCTGTTTAAACCAGAAACGTTCTCCCACTTCCTAGTTATGGTGACCATGCTACTGTGTGTTTACAGTGTTGTTTTTTCCTCTTAGATGCAACTAGGAGACGAGCCTTTGGACTGGTTTCTCAGGCATATACCTCAATAGTTGCAGATGATTTTGCAGCCTTTGTCGGGCTTCCTGTAGAAGAAGCTGTGAAAGGTGTTTTTCATTTATTCATTCAATATTTTTCTACGAGTTGAGATGAAAGATGTTTCTTTTACAATTGCTTAGAGCTAACATATGCACATTTTGAGACTACTACAAAGAGAAATGATGGGGGGAGTGACTAGAGATAAATGGCTTAATTTTGGATGAGGGTTTGATTTGGTTATTTGCCAGTAGTTGCTACTGCATTTCATTCCTTTCGATATGTGAAATTGTTAAAGAAATTCAGCAGTGAGGGAAGGAAAGGTACGTTTGAATTAGTCTCACATGCTAATGCTTCCATGAGCTTTGATGACCTGAATGTATAAGAAATGGGTTTATAAGAAGTAAATAAGAAATAGGTTTTGAAGCTGTGGCATACAGGCAGCGTGCTGAGATACTTTTCTACTGGTCTTAATGTACATCTTTATGTTGCCTTTTTAGCAAACATATAAGGGATTAGTTTGTTCTTACAAATGTAAAAAATGCCTTTTCAGGTGTATTGGAACAGGGCTGGCAGGCAGACTCTTCCACTCGTATGGTAATGCCTAAAAAGCCTGGTAGGTGGAGCTGTTATTTCATGATAAATTGAATTTGACACTTTCTTACAGTTACATGTTAGTTAACTAACAAGTATTTTAATTTTTATGCATAGTTATACAGTTGTAAAATTTGTATTTCTCACATTTCATAAACATCCCATGTTTTAATTTGGTGTTAGAGTTAAGGATTAAACTGAATCCCCATACTAACATTTTAAACAAAAGCAGACAGGATATGCTATAACTTCTGCTGCTCCTCCTCTGCTGCTGGCTCTGATTCAGTGGAACATAAGTTGGATGACCTCAAATGACATATCTGAATCTAATAAAGACAAGTAAAAGTACCATTTTAAACCTGCAGACTTTTTCAGAAGAAATTGAGTTCCTCTGAGGAGGGATCTAGGGGTTTTCTGTCCTCTGAAGAGCTTAAGTAGTGGTATAACTTCCTTTGCTTTTTAAAATTCATTCTACTGAATCTTTTAACTGTCACGGTGATAAGAGAATCTGCTCCTGCAAAGTTCAACCTGGAAAATGCAATATCTGTGGCTGTTTTCTGTTTGAAGAACAAATGAAAATGTTAAGCTATGAAGGCAGAGATGAAATGATAGTCCTTAAATTGCAGAGTAAAACTCTGGAAGGAGGAGCCAGGTTGTCCTTCATCCAAAAGTGCAACATCTATTAGGCTAGAGGGGGAAAGAAAATCTATTGTTTGTGTGGGCAGAACTCTTAGGTTTTTAGAGCCCAGCACATCATACTAAACATGAGCCAGGCAAGGTGCTGAAATCCATTTCTCAAGGGCACTTTACCAACTGAAGTTTTGAGCTTTTGCTGCTGATCAGCTTTTTCATAAACTGGTTGCAAAATATGCTGTGCTTACAAGTACTTAGAGCTAATTACATATGGTTATTTTCAAAAAGTGAATGGAGGAGCTGTCACTGAAACAAATGGAGGCAGGAGGCGCTTTTTGTTCTGAGGCTGCATGTCTAACTTTCTAAAACTTGGGTTTCCTGCTTATTTTAGCTATGAAGTAAAAATGGAAAATGAGCAGGCTTAATTTAAAGTAGCTTGTTTGTCAGTTTTGGCTTGGTGTATATAAATGTTTAAAATTGTTCCACTGGGCTGATTTCTATTGTGTTTTTCTTCAGGTGTCCTGGAAGCTTGCTTTAACAGATTTATTCCTTCTTCAGGTACTTCCTGCTTGTATATAAATCTACTTGCATGAATCTAAACCTTGTGTGACTGTAATATAAACAAAACTTTACCAGCACTACAAAGTAAGGAAGTATGTCCTAGAGAAATGTCATTCCACCTCCCTTCTTCCTCAGTCTTCTCTTTCCCACAGATATGAATCTGCCCAAGAATACCAGGTTTTTAGGTGAAGTAGGGAGCAGGTTCCAAAGCAGGGACATATAGTCTCTGGATGGGGGGTGGAGGGGAGTTTTGGGCTGATACTTTTGACTTAAAGGCAAATTTTTCATAAAGCAGCTCTGAGTAGGTTTTGTTGCTTTCTTTTGCAGGAAAAATTTCAGAAATTCAGCATCACACAAAAGCAGTCTTCTGCTTCTCCCAGTTTTCCTCAGAGCTCAACCATAGGTTAAGCTGTAATATATCTTCTCATGCTGACACTCAAAACTCTGTAGTCTCCATTTGTCACAGTAAGATAGTGATGGTAGGTCTGAATTGGTGGTTTGCAGTGTCTAGTGCAGTTGCCAGGAGCATCTTACATCTGCAGGAGGCTTAATTCCAAGCTCTTTTGAAGAGCCAGGGTTTTGCTTTTTGAAACAATTCTTATAATTGTCAGCTTTCTCCATCTTTCACATTCTTGGAGTGCCTCTAGTTTAACTGTATCCTAGATATTAAAGCTTGTTCTCTTTTTCAGGAAGAGTAAAAATAACATTATTTTCCTCCTGTTTTTTTTATTTCTGATTTTTAATTCCTGACTTACCTCTCAGTTATAGTGGCTTGTCTTGCAACCTGTCCTTCAGGTCTCAGGTTAGCTGTCCTTCATGTAAGGCTCTGCACATACACTGCTTTCTCCTGCAACCCATGCAGTGCTTTGTGCTGTGTTTTGTTAGTTGGACAACCCAGCAAATATTTATCTTTAGTGTGGTACCTTTGAGGGAAGGTGCAACCGAAGAGCTCCAGGAGGCTTTTGTTGAGTGGAGATGCTATCAGTATTTAATTACAAGTGCTCCTTGTAATATAGACCCCAGTGTATGCAAGTTTTGAAGACTGCTGAAAATTGGAAGTTGTTATAAGTGTATCCTTGCTATATTAGTAACTCTTGGACTACTTAATGTGGTGGATGGCAGAAAAGTAGTCTGTCTGCCAAGTATGTAGATGGTGGAGGTATGGTTAAGAACTGCCCCCGTTTCTTCCAGTATAAGACTGGTAAATAGGCTGATGCATTTATTTTTTTGATATTGTTTTGATGGGTGGTGTTAGGGACTGATTTGCCTTCTTAACTTCATGTTGCATGTTTGTTTTTTCTTTGTAGAACCTGCTCCAGTTCCACCAATTCCAAATGAACAACAGTTGGCCAGATTGACTGACTATGTGGCTTTCCTTGAAAACTGATTACCCTGCTCCTGTGTTCAGAACAACGTGGGACTCCTGTGTACTGACAGTTCTAGAAATCTAAGACTTATTTCTGTTAAATGTTGCAGCATCCCCTACTGAAATGTGTAAAGTATACAGTGTCTGTTATCCAATTTTTGTTTTACCAAAGCCAAGCTAACAGTTGAAACAATCCTTTAACTCATCTAATATTTATTCAGTAGGTACACAGCAGTATTACTTGGTAAGTTTTTTTATTGACTTGTAGCCAAGAGAGGCAGAACTTTTTTCAGATAGGTTACAAATGCAGAAGAACTTTGAGTAATGAAGCAGGTTAACTGTATTGAGGGATTTGTGCTAGTGGATTGTGTGCTTCTATTGCAAGTACTGCAGTGCTTGTTACAGATCAATTGCATCTTGAACTTAAATGCAAAGGGGTGAAGGCTGCCCTACCTGTATTTGTAGAGAGAAGGCATTGGGATGAAACAATAACTTGCATAAGTCAATTTACAGTACTTTTTTGCAAGTCTGTTTTTGTGGCATTTTGATAGCTTTCTTCTTTTTGCTTGTTTTTCTAAATTGTTAAGTCTCCTTTCTTGTTTTGACTGACTTGAGAAAAAATTTCTCATCGGGCATATTTTTACAGCACAACGTTGTATGTGGGGGCATCTAAAGGATAAGTTTTGAAGTCATTTCAGAAAGGCAAAAGTTCCCTTTGAGGAAGCATTTTTATTAGAAGGCTTTATTTTTGAATGATTGCATGTAGGGCAGCAGATATTTTGCTTGGTAATTCTACTCCTTTTTAAAGGCTGTAATGTCATGGTTCTCTTCAGTACTCTGGGCCAGCATCTACTAGAAGCAGCTCTTGCCTGTCTTAACTTTCTGGATTACCTCTGCAGTCTCTGGAAAGGAATTTAAAAATTGGAGTAGGTCTCCCTGAGTAGAGGCCAAGCAGGATGGAGATGATATATCATGTTGCAATGTCAATTTGAGGAGTAAATTTCCTATACCAGAGCACTGCTGTATTAATCTTTGATTTCAGAGTGGACTTCAGAAGCAGAAAGACGACTTATGTTCCCAGGCTGCTTTTGGTGAAAAGACTTATGGGGAAAATGGTGGTGTTTTAAAGGGCAGTGCTTGCCTTCACTGGCCTCTCCCCCTTATTTTGCTTTTCAACATCGTATTTGGTGGTTTGCCATTGAAGATGGCAGGTGTGCTGTTCGTTGTGATGTTTTCTCCAGTGTGCACTGCCTACTGTACATTCTCTTGTTGGGGGATGTGTTAGTGAGGAGGAATTCTAAACTGTGCACTGCTGCTTTGAAAGCTCCCTTTATATGTAAACGTTTACTGAGAATGATTATTTATTTGAAACCCACCTAGACTTGGACTTATAAATGCGATGCAAATTCATCTTCAGTGATATTAAAGAACACGTTTACACTGACCTTGTGTACTTGATTTTTAATTTTCCTCAGAGTACGATGGTTGCAGTTGGGCTGGTTTCTTAATGGGTTCTCTTACTGGTCTAATTTGGGCTGGTTAAATATTAATGTGCTACCTTATGCCTAGATATTTAAGGCAGCTACGTGTGTAGAGAAGGCATGTGTTTATATTAAAGTTGGTATCATTCAGGTATCTTGTAAATTATGGAAAGGCATGAAGTATTTGAACTAAGAGAACGTTTCCCCTTTCTCAGTATGCGTTATGCAAGTCTGGGTTTTTTCTGGCACACAAGAGCAGCTCTGTTTGCAACAGTGAAAATTAGACTTGATTAAAGTATAACCACTTAATTGGTATTAGAGGAACAAAGTGGGCATTAGTATTTTGTGACTCGAGTGCTGTAGCTTGAGTCTTGTAATCTGTCTGGTTTTAGCAAGCTCATCATTCTGAGATGTTCTCTGTTCCACTGCAGAAATTCAGCTGGCTTTTAGCTTTGGGCATGACTTTCTCATGTTTTGCCTTGAATTCTTTCTAGCTCTCCCATTGTCTGTCTTGTCTTGAATCAAAGCTGCTCCGAACTTTTTTGTACTTATTGTTCTTTGAATGGCCTCTGGTTCACAAATGGCCTTTTTTGAGCTGAGGTGCTTATTGCTGCTCTTACTAGTCATGCAGTGGACGTAGCATGGTTTGGCAGTGGCAGAACGTTTTCTATTTTTCTTGATCCTTCCTAAGGCTGACTCTGTTCAAACATCTCTTGAGCACTGCCCTGTTCTCTGAGCAGTAATGACAATGATTTCAGTATCTCTTCTCACAGCTGAGTGTGCGTCATTACATCTCTATAGTTGGGAATTTTTTTCCCCTCCAGTTAGTGCTCTGCATGCATGAAAAACTGCATTGTGAAATGGTAGGTGAAGTTCAGTGTTTCAAGGTACTTCTACTGGTCTCTGCAATAAGACTTGCTTTTCATCTCTTGAAAAAATTGTATAATCTTTAATTTATTGCTTTGCTAAGCTAAATAGCTTTATAGATGTTGACTGTAACAGATTTTATGGTACCTTATGGTAGCTTCCTCAGTTATGAAAACTCTCTACTACTAACCCTTTCTTGCCTTACCTAGTGACTCACTGATGTATGGAAAGACCTTCCCTTTTCGTCTATTAATTTTTTCAAAGCTATGCGAACTGTTTTATGTGAAGTAGACCAGTTAATCCACACTTCCTCAAAATACTTTTCTGTTTAATTTTAGTATTTCTTTACTAATGAAGACTTGTTCCCCTATATAGATATTCATCAACCCTGCCTAGGTTTCAAGGTTTTAAATGGGCGGCTGGAGGGTAGGTTGAGTTTTAAGATTTGGTAAAGAAGTTAGAGATATCAAATTTTGGAGAAGCAGGGGTGCTGGAGCGCTGTGTGTAGCGCCTGGAAAAGGTAGATGGGACAACTTGCTGAACTGATGTTATTTGAAGTAAACTGGAACAGCTCTTAAACAGTATCATGGGCAATAAATTGATACAAATGGCTTTATAGGAAATACTACTGATATGTCTGTCATGAGACCTTGAGCTCAATAAAGGTCAAACAAGTTGGTTAAAAGTCAAATTTCTAAATTTTTCTCAACATGCTCTTAGAATTAGTGAGCCAGTTTATCTTACAGCTGACTTTATCAGCTGGTTCACTATATCTAGGAAATTGTAATCTAATGGGCAGTTTGTAGCTCCCTGTGGAGCTCAAGTGTGATGCACTGTCCTGATTGATTTGGTTTCTGAACTTCACTCTGCCATAGATGAATTGCAAAATGGGAGTGAGGGCCACCTCAAAGTACTATGAAATGATGGGCTTCTGTTCTAAAATATTAGGTCAAAAAGTTTGGAGTTACAGTATGTAACTAAGGGAATTCACAATTTGATTGAAGATAAATGTAGCCTTTCAATATTAGTGGGGGGTCAATAGGAAGAAAGAAGGATGTTACTTTGTAGCGTAGTATCTAGTAAAAGGTTAAATCGACTTAACCATTCTCTGAATACCATGAGAGAAATCTGAGCTGTTCTTTACCTAGAAAGCAAGGAATAACATAAGCTTGATAGCAAAGGTAGATGAGTTTGGTTCACTTAGAGGCAGTGAGTAGTCTTAACACAGGAACTATTTTTAGACTTGCTCTGACTCGGTTTATGATCTTAAATCAGTGAGTATACTTGAATACTGGGGAAAAAATGTAAGCGGAGTCTTAGGTGTGGCATTTAAGTCAAAATCAGACATCTTTGTAAAAGACCCGTTCTCCTCTGGCTTGAGAGGCTCTCTTATGTTAAAACATTGCAGTCCCAAAGGAGTCAATAGCTTCTGCTCACTGGAAATATTAGCCCATTTGTTAGAAGTAAATGATGTGTTCAAGAATTCCAGTTCAGACTTTTACTGCTTTGGCAAGCCTAGTTTAGCTTTCTGCTTCCTTGTCCGGAGTAGAGCCCCATCTCGGTAAACAGCTTCTGTAAATGAATTCCTAAAGTGAGATTGTGTGTCTGCTCACCTGGCCTGCTTTAATCATGTGCTTCAGCTCAGCAATGAGGAGGAAATGCTTTGGTCATATTTGCTTTTTAATTGAAAGAGGAAGTGTGTGTGTTGGAGTCCTTCCAAACACTTTTGTCCTCAGCGCTGGAACTCAGAGTGGGAGGACCTGTGGATTAAGAAACCATTAAGATTCAAATGGGAACAGATTCCTGGTAGACCTGGCAGGGTGGGGGGGGGATTCTATTTGAATTTAGTGTGTTCCACTTTCATCTGCACCCTACATGTAATTCAGTTTTGATTTCTTCACATCATAGTAACCTCTCCTGCATAGTTCAGCAGTGGTCACTCAACCTCCAGTTCTGGTCTCTATTGAATATGCTGTCTTCAGCTCAGAGGTAGAATACCCTCTTGGTTTAAAAAAGAAATTGGTTATGGAGGCAGAGCAGAAGAGTATGCCTCCCTGCTGAAGAGCCTCATGGAAGCCCTCCCTGGGCTTAACAAAGCTCAGCAGATTCTCCAGGATGTGATCAGAGTGAAAAGTCTCATTGTGGGCATTGCACAGGAATGGCACTGATCTTGCTGCAGTCTACCCAGAGTGTTTTGACTGCTTCTGCTGCAGATACCCTGCTTAGCTGGATAGTCTTCTGTATTTTGCAGTCTAGAAGTCCAAGAGTGACTAAAACATAAAAGCAAGAAGGGACTTGCAGGAGTTTACTTGAAGTGGGCCTAGCCTTGTGAAGACTAGGACACTAAGTCCGCTGTGAAGCTTTCCTGTTCAGGTCCCAGGTGCCCTCACTGATCTGTTCCGGTTTACTTCCTTAGATGCTCATCTTTAGTATGCAATATCCTGGAACCTTTTCTTAGTGCAGTAATGGCTGCCAGGCTTCCTGCAGTCCATTTATGAAAGCTAAAATCAAAATCTGTTTGTTACAGTTCAGAATATTTGTCTGTGTCAGAAATGATGGAGACTAAAGGCAAACATGTTCTATGGAGAGAGAGTTTCCCAAACTGCCTAAATGTTGAGGTAATAGTCTACTGTACTTTGACACGAGCTATCTTAAGTCTGAGAAATGCTACTCAATGCTGATGCTGGGCTTTGTGGTTTTATGTTGGAGGTGGTGCACTGGCAAACAGTGCAAGCTGTTGTTAGCCACCTTGCTGCTTTGGCATTCCAGGGCTCTGAGGTTTTGTAGTTTCTTTAACTTGCACTGAGAACCTGCAGTCTGATTAGCTGCAGATTTTTCTTTTATTTGGGGGGGTGGGGAGGGGGGAACCTTGCCTTTCTCAAATATTAAACAGCTCTCAAACAAAACAGGGTTTTGCAGTCAACTGCCAATGGATGATGGCAGTAAATGAAAAGCAAAGCAAATTACTTGCTGATCTGTGACGGGAAGCAAACTTGTGCATATTTTAGATTCTCAGATGATACCAGTTGGTCTGGGAAATCTCTGTTCAAGAGCAGTATTTGGCACTTTCTAACTGGGTGTGAACAGTAGAAAGGAATGTGCATTCCTGGCTTGATGTCTTTTGGGCAGTTATTAAATGCTAGGTTCTCCTATACTCTCACGGCAAAGAACTCCATGTAGGATGCTAGGGCTGTGTGGAACAACTCAATGTAAATAAAGTGAAAGAACATGTTGAGTGTCAATGATAGGATGCTTACATTTGATTCTGAAGCATTACAGTAAAGGTGGATATCTTCAGCTCTTAAATGTGTCCTGAGACTGAATAAAAGTACAAATTTGGGAAGAAATGAAGATTTTTAGAAGTAGGAACTGGTTTTCTTCTGTGCTAGTCTCTTCTTATGGTAAGAAGTGATAGAATGAGCAGTGCTGAACTAGTATCTTGCTTTGTGTATTGTAACAGCCCATCAAAGCTGAGACTGATGTAAAAGCAGGTGATGAGAGTCCATCTGAGGTGAAAGGACTTGTAGATCACTGACTGAGAACAGGACTTGGCCTCTGATTCATAAGGTAGGGCATGCTTCTGAACAGGTATCTTAACTCTATCAGATGTTTGAGGTATGAAACCTGTTTTATTGCTTTGTCTTTTCTATGTGAACTTGAGCCTGCCCTGAGTGGGATAAAATATACCATCTCTGGCAGCCCTTTTTCTTTCTAAGCTTCGCAAACTCAGAGTAGGAATATGACACAATATGCTTTCCCAGGCTAATGGGGATCTATTTTTAGACTTGTGTGTGAATAATCTTGTGAGACTTAGTGAAGTACCATGCATAGTGAATGTCTAATGGCCTAACTTAAATGCTTTCCTTTCTTAGTTGTAAGCTTATTTAGTTCAAACATTTTATTGCAGTTCAAACTTATGCATATAACTTTGCATTTTTAGCCTGTCAGTACAGTGCAGCCAACAGAAGGAAATTGGACTATTCGGCTTACCTTCTGTTTAAAAGAGCTAGTGCTTGGAAATAACTGGTACCTTTGATATTTAATACTGGAAACAAGGGCATATAGTTACACTTTGTATATAAGGAGTATATATTTT